AATTTACATTTTTTGACTTAAAAGAATAAGTTTTTTTAAGGTTTTGGTTTTCTGTATACACTAGGTTATGGGAGACTTTCTTTCTTCTTTCAAGTAGTACTCAGTGGAACATTTTCAGTACAATGTTCTCTTCGCACAACGTTCCATTACCCAACTGTGTCTTTCCTAAATGTCAAAAAAACTTATTTTTGACATGTATAGACAACATCTGGCTTTTTACTTTGTACATTTGCTCATGTATTTTGGTTAGGCATTCATCTGGAATTGGCTGTGTTGAAGGTAGTGATGAGATGGTTGCATTCTGCTTTCATTTCATTTAATTTATTTCGCCTTTTTTTTTATCATAACAATACAGTAAAATTTTCAGAAAATTCGAAAAGGTAATCCATGTTTCCCCCAAGAGCCGACAGTATTACCAAAAAGTAAAATTAATTACTGTCTGAGTGGCTCTCCAAGCAATGGGGGAAACATGGACTAGCAGTATAAATACATTATAAAAATATATATATATATATATATATATATATAAATATGTGTGAAAATACAAAAATAATTAACAATTAAAATATGTTCATTACTTATATTATTATTGTTATTTTTATTATTACTATTATTATTACTATTACTATTAGTATAATAATAATAATTATTATTATTATTATAACAACAATAATAACTACAACAATTTTAATTACAATTACCAGCATAATAATTGTTATAAATATTAAACAATCACACAAACAAATAAAAAAGTACACAAAAAATTTGATCAGAAATAGGAAAACACCCACCCCCAAACCCTGCCCCCACTTCACAGACCAACAAACACCAAAAAGAGAAAATTAAGTAATTAGAGTTCACTTTTAGCTTGACTTGGGCATAGGCATATCTGAAATTCTCTCAGTTGTAAAAATGTTCTTTTAGCTTTCTGAGAAGTAAGTTAATGTTAAAGAGAGCAGCATCACGTACTTCAAGTGGAAGAGTTTCCCATACAATGGGAAAATAATTGAAAGCAGAGAATTTAAATGCATTGGTTCGGGCAAAGGCATGCCTAAAACGCAAATCATCAGAGTGTCTTGTGTTGATCTTAACAAATTCCAAACAGTTTAAATCATACACATGATAAAGGCATTTACAAACAAAAGCTACAAGAATGAAATCGTATCTAGCCTTCATAAAGATCAAGTTAAATTTAACTAATCTCTCCTCATAGCTTAACACAGATCTGAGTTCATTTGGGATGCTCATACGAGTTGCTTTTCTCTGAACCTTTTCAATAGATTTCAAATGTCCAGCTTGAAATGGATACCAACTCGGTATTCCATACTCTAAAATTGGTCTCACGAGGGAATTATATAATTTGATAAAGGCTTCGGAGTGATTGTATTTCAAAGTTCGCTTAATAAAGCCAAGAAGTTTCAGACCCTTGGAAGTGACATCATTAACGTGAGCACCCCATGATAAATTAGATGCAATGTTAACACCAAGGTACTTGTGAGTAGAGGTTAGCTGAAGGCAAGCCTCAATGATGTGATAACTTTTTGGAGATTGTGCTCGACTAGTTGATCGAGTGATTCGCATTACTCTACATTTGTTCGGGTTGAGCTATTAGCAATGTCTATCAATCAGCGTTCCATCCAGAAGCATCCCAAAAGGCAAAATTCCCACTCTGTGGTATCAATTCATAGACCTAAAAAAAACCCCACCAGATTCAAGTATTTAATTGTGCTGTACTGTGCATCCACTTATTATGTCATGACATAACAACATCAGCAGTTTGAAGAAATTTTTTATCAAAAAAAACCCGGGTTGCTACTTATATTTAGGTTGGTTGGTATTTAAAAATATTACTTTATTTATTCAAACATCACATCTCAAACAATAATATAAGGTGGCCAAAGACCAAATTGCATTTTACTTGTGTTACATAATATTCATTAAAAAAGGATATATAGGGGCCTATAATAAAAGACTAGACAGTTAAAATTTAAAATGTAAAAAAAAAAAATTACAAACAATAATTTAAGCAACTAAATAATAAAGAAAGGGGGCGTCTCACATTGCCAAGTTTGCTGTTAGTCAAGTATAACATTATAATTTTAAAATTATAATTATAATATTTTTAAGTATTGGAGAGCTGTGGACAATAGGCCTGAGTCTAAGCCCTAGTAGTAGTAAAGTTTGGTAGTAGGGTAGTTATTTATTAATAATTATTATATTACAGTATTAAGGTGTAGAAATAAAGGAAAAATAGACTATTTGGACCTTAAACAGGTTGCTCTGCTAGGTACGTCTTCAGAAAAAAGAAGGCGAACTTGTCATGCGAACTTGTCATGCAAACTAGGCCTAGTGTATAAGTGTTGCATTGATCTTCCTTGCATCATGATTGATGATATTTGATAGGAGTGTAGGTCCATCTTCTAACTACGCCAAGGGTAGGCCTTGCCTAGACTGGGCCTAGAAAGAGTCATGAGATGCATCCCTCCTCCAATTTCACCTTGATCGTTGTGGGTTACCTATGCAGTAATAATAATGAAAACTTACTCTGAGAAAACCATAGTCAGCAATCGGTGAATCAAACCTATGCTAGCTTTCTTGCTCTCTCTCGCACCGTACCCGTAATCGAGTGCGAGTTGGTTGACTCTTGCGCCAACTTGTGCGATGATTTCATCTTATCCTTAGCCAATAAGAGCGCTTTATATGTTTCCCTATGCTTGGCTCTTCACGAAAAAAAAAATCGCAGGCCGGACGGGGTCATAACCACTGTCAACAACGTCTTTTCAGACACTTTTTGGTGATATTTTCCTCTTGTTATTGTCAGGATCATCATCTTCTTTCTTTTCTTATTCTTCTTTCTTTCTCCCCATTTCTTGTTCGCACGATATCTCAAAATTGTCGCGAGTTACGCACATGCTCACTTCAAAGAACATTTGGCTTCGCCTGGTATAGTCACGTTAAGGTTTGCAAGGTGACCAGTCATGCGTGACGTCAGCTACACGGAATTCTACGTTTTTACATTATCGATCATATCAGCCTAACCAATTGTCATTTCTTAAGCATAATTCAGTGGGCATAGACTTCAGGTCAAGGTTGAATATCACATATTAAATTAAAATTCCAACTGTAAGAGGTAAAATTTAGCCATTTTCAGATGGGAGCTAGTGAAAATGAATAGAAACCTGCCAAAAATAAAAGCATTTTTCTCAAAACTTGATAAGATGACAATTATCCAAACGGTTATAACTTTGCTTCTAGATACCCGATTGAGTTAATTTAATTGTCATTTTAAAGTATGTTCTATGCCATTATAACAACTGATTTTGGTCTGGGGACGAGTTTACAGCCCTTTTGTGAGCTTGGGTCATAATGTTATTATCTTTGGAGTTCCAGAAAATACTGAGGGTAAGAATTGTGAAGATTTCGTTCCTCATTTAAGGAGGAATGGGGTTTAGAAGATTCACCCACATTTTATGAAACTTTAAAGGAAAATATTCTTGAAATGGGGAACATATATAACATTATTTTTTTGGGTTTGGAATGTTGTAAGAAGTCAGTGATTAGACAGTAGAAATCATAAAATACTAAATAACTCCAAGGCTAGAGATAAAATCATAAATACGTGTAATTAACTGGATTTGGTAGATATATGACGAATGCATAATCCTAAAGATTTTAAATTTATCTGGCGTCAAGGCCTAAAGCAGGCCAGACTTGATTATTTTATTACTTCAAATGAACTGCTTGGTAAGTTTAGTAAATGTAACATTAAACCTGGATTTAAAACGGACCATTCCTTAATAGATATTCGAATTAGTTTACAGCAGATCGAGAGAGGTAGGGAATACTGGAAATTTAATAATTCACTTCTACAAGATATTGACTATTTAAGTCGGTTTCAAACCAATATAAAAATAATATTTCGAGGGAATGAAATAATATTGCGTTCCCTCGAAATATAATTTCGTTCCCTCGAATATTATTTCGTTCCCTCGAAAGATTATTTCGTTCCCATGAAATATTATTTCGTTCCCTCGAAATATTATTTCGTTTCCTCAAAATATTATTCGTTCCCTCGAAATAATATTTCGTTCCCTCGAAATACTATTTCGTTCCCTCGAAATAATATTTCGTGTATGGTACGCCCCATTGCCTTCGGAGTCGGCTATTTGTCATAAGTGGCGCAAGGATTTGCCTAACGGGGGGGGGGGCGAAGTCCCCGGCTAAGGGTCCATGCCCTAGACGAAAGCAATGCGGGTGTGGTCGAGCTTTGATTGAATAGTTTTGACAGTTTATAAATTTTGACAATTAAAGGGTTTAAAAGTCTTATTTAATCGATATTAGGGTCCACTAATATGTAGAAAATACATAGAATTTTTGTTTCTCCCCGACGAATTTTGCTTTTTCTCCTTGACGGGGAGGGGGGGGGGTGGCAGTTTTGTATGCTGCGTGGTCGTTCCAAAGCTCGGCTTTGGAACGAAAGTTTGTAGGTCGGCTGATAATATAAAAATTCAACCTGTTTTAGGAAACGCCTGGCAACGTCCAAATGCAGGTCTTTGACCAGAGAGGCAAAAAATGATATTCATACTTGGTATAAATTTACCAACAAATTCAATGGCAAAGCGTTAATCTTGGATAATGTATGGTACTCCAAAACACCTAGAACATTATAACATTGCAGTATTTGAACTCTTCCCTATTGTCTTGGTGCTAGAATTATGGGGTCATCTCCCCAAAGATAAATGTATTTGGTTCAGTTCGGACAACATGGTCGTAGTCTACGTAATTAACAAAAACAAATGATGACGCCTTATTAAGAATATAATATTGCGTTACAATTTTATGAAAAATTTATTCTCATGAACACGATTTATGATTTAATTTTCTTTTTTTTCAAGTCACATGTTAAAGATTGTTTTTTTTAAGAGAAACTATCATTTGTTTGTGTTGTGTTACATCGGTATTAAATACAAAGAAACAAACATTCTGCATTTAGACAAAATTAGTAGTTTATTAAAAACTTAAAACCAAATCACCAAATATAATGTGGAATCTTCTCATTATCAAAGTAAATATATAGCTCTATATATAAAGATTTAATGTATTGATCATCATTTCATTTGAAATCTTAACTCTGCCAGTTTCATTTTTTCTCCCCAATATGTTGAGTTTCCCTTACAGTAGGAACTTGCCACCACTGATAAGGAATGTATTCCTTTCTTATTAAAATAAAGCTTGTTGATAATTTAGAATATTCAATTCAATTCAATATATATTTGCTACAAAAGCCATCAATTGGCCATTATCCGCCATACAAAACACATAACACAATCGAATATAAACATTTGCTATAGCCAATAAAAATATTCAAAATAAGAATTAAACAACTAATCATTGTGTTCCAAGCAGAGCACGGATAGAGGAATGTTTGCAGAAGACGGATCAAGATTTAGAGACGAGCAAAGCTTAAGTGCATATGGGAGAAACGAAGATTTAAAACGTTCGGTTCTACAAGAAAGTGGTAAGAAGGCAGATTGTCGGTGATTCCAAAGCGAGATAGAAGTTTGACGTCGAGGCGGAAGGAAATCTGTGAGAATGTGATCATAAGATTGAACAATTCGACAAAATATGCATAGAGTGAAATAGTTAAATCTTGTGCCGTACGTTGTGATACCATACTGAGCAAATAGTTGTGCATATGAAGAATATGAAGAGTGATCTGATAAAAGTTTACTGAAAAGATATTCAATATGTTTCAAATACGCACGTTCACATTCAGGTAGGTTGACATAAATAGCATATACATATTGCATCACTGATTGGACATGGGATTTATATAAGAAAACGAGAGATGTTTGGTCAAGTGAATGCTTTAGATATTTCATCACCGAAAGTTTGCGGATACATGATTTATATATATTAATAATTATTAACACTGCAATCATGTATATCAATGTATGTTTAATTATAAAATGCAGATTCCATTGCAGAGTGCTAAATTCAATATTGTAGTAATTCATGTGTTGCTATATGAAACTACTTTAGAGCTTTTTCAAACTTAATAACTAAATAAAGAATTATACAATTGGTAAATAATTAGGCACATAAGTCATTCCTAAAAGCAGTTAAGCATGCCTTAAGGTTGACAATTTGTTTCACAGTTTGTTCTTCGGTGGGTTACAATAAGTGTTTTACAGCATCCAGTCGCTTTCCACTTAGTCGGCATGAAAGCAAAATATAAAAAAGAGTACGTTATATGATAGTTTATATTAATGCATATCCATGTTTTATTAATAGGTCCATGTTTAGGCGAGTCTATTGGTCGAGCGTTAAAACAGGGGCAGCACTAACTACAACATTAACATCAGCGCTGGTTCCAGCCGCTTCTCGCCCGTGGTTCGGTTAGTAAAACCAAGTCTTCTCAGATAAGGACTTACAATGGAGGTCCAGTGTACACATCTAGCTAATGTGCACTTTAAAAAAAACCAATTCCATCTTTCGGAAGAGTAGGGGGTAAAGCTACATCCACATCAAGCCCTAATTCCGGACCGGTCCGGCAGGTTACGATTTCCGCCCGGCCGTTGCGTTCACATCGCGAGCGGGAACACAATATCGGGGTCAATAAAAGCAACCAAGTGAAACAACGTCAACCGCCGACGATATTGTCGAGGATGTTCTGTTGCTGTAGAATTTAAAAGGAAGACAGACCTTTAGTCCTTACGAAACATTAGATAATGTTGAAATTACGAAACATAGATAATGTTGAAATTGCTTCTGAACCTGAGACATTTTTACAATTCCTTTATTTATGTAGGGCCACCTAACTAACTAGGACAAATCTAGGCCTAGGCATATACTGTATACATATCCTAGCTCCCTACCTTGTCCTTAGTATCATGTTAATTTTACATTAATACCAGTGGCGGTGCCACCGGGGGGGGGGGTGAGCAGAACTATAGTCCCAAAATCGAACATGTCAAGCCCTCTTCTCCCCTCCCCACGACTAGAGTTTGTCGGGCAGTCGGACCTAAAGAGAAGAAGTATAATTGTATATAATTCTCAAACTCAAACAAAAAAATAATTCCAAGGCCCATAGTTACAAAAATGTTCATTGTTGTTCCTGCAATGTGTCTCAATGTGCGAATTTCATTACCAGTCGGTTTTATTCAGCAAACTGTGCTGGCTAATCAGTGTTTGAGAGAACAATAATAAATAATATAAAATTAATAATTTTATAAATTATATTTATTTGTTTAAATAATTTGGGTATGTAATATATAATTTTCATTTTGCATCCACTCTAATCTGTATAACATATCAAACTAGAATTTGCTATTCTGTATTAAGCTGCACTATTTAGCATTTTTATGATGACACATTGAAAGTGGACCCTGCCAAAACATGTTCCTTTCATAAAGCTAGTATGACTATGGCAAATTAAACCTCAGGATTACGCCTGGTAAGCATCATATTATTAAATGAGTTGTGATACACCGATCCTTTTTATAAAATAATAAATTTCTAGTCTGTATTATATGTTTATACGTCCTTGTAGTCACAAAAGAATTCAGAAACTGAACCTGATCGGCATATTTGTATTTTCGGACTTTACTGGAAAGCCCTTGTCCACTTTTAGATTAGTGAATCTTCCAGAGATAGGCTACATAAAAATCGCTCATATTTACAAACTTTAAGATGCAATTTTGCCTGAAAAAGAGAAAGAAAGCTAACGGGTCTAATCAAAAATTTACATTCTACATTTAATACTGTAACACATTATAATCACATAAGTCTATCATGAGTAAACCTCCCGCACTAATAAAAACAAAACGATGCTGGGTTTGGTCTGCCTGAGCTCGTGCTCCCATCAGATCATTCCATTCGTAGAAGAGGCCTTAATGATGGATAAAAACGTAGGCCCTAATCATAACTCCGGCGATATAACATTTATTATCAGGTTAGAAAATGTTAATCGTATTACAGTAGTGACACTATGTACACCATTAGATTAATGTTATTTTGTTATTTATATAATAGGCCTAGCCTATATAAAATTGCTTTATATTCAGATTTTAATGTATTGTTGTCTAGGTGCTTTCCATAATCAAGTCTAAAATACAGCATAAAATTAAAAAGCAAAACAAAATCCCACGACACGGTATCTTCTCGCGCTGAGTTTCGAGCTCTTCGGCTTTGTGTTCATTGACGCTTATCGCTGATTGGTCAGAAATATAAATCCGGACAGTTTCACGTTTCTAATGGCTTTTTGATCCATTACTCCGAATCCAGGCTGGTGCTTCATTAGGGAAAAATCGTACCGTGTACATGTGAACGTTTCTATTCTTTACCACTGAAGGCATTTCTCATGATTTTTTTCTCCAGACTCCGGACTGAATCCGGGATTGATGTAAACGTAGCTTTACCCCGATGCTATGGTTCATTTCAGATCCTGTCATTGTTAAACAAGAATCTCTTTACGGCCGCTTGGTAGTCACTGACCACTCCCATACGCAATTTTGAATATCTGTAATAAATTGCTTACCTAATTTTATGTTGAATTACAGTAAGACGGCAGAATAAAATATTCAGTAGTATCAGTTAACACCTGATAGTTGTAGTAACGAAGAACATACAATACGTCAACTGAAATAAACATTAAAAGTAAATATTTTAGTAATAAATTTTAAAAAAGTCTTCGGTGTAACAATAATAAGACATATATTTGAAACAAGATAGTAGGTTTTCCTGTTGCACAGTATCTTTCTTTCCACTCTGTTATTGATGTTAAATTTGTTTGATTGCATTCAGGTTTTAAATTTTTAACTGATAGACGTTGTGCTGAACTTCAGTATATTCTTAAATTAAACACACATAACATTGGTAATAACAAACATTTAGAATTCGAAAGTGGTTACTCTTTCACTAAATAAGATGAATATTGCTTATTTCAGTTGTTCTTTAGACGCCTTATTACTGCTAAATGTTTCCGACCATTTTTTATTCGTTAATTGGCATTTATATAATATTAATTATTATTTGTTAATTATTTCACAGTTGCTCATTAGGTGCCTATTACCTTAGGACATTATCTTGCTTACTTCCCAACAACATTTATCTGAACTGATCCACTTTCATTCATACGTCGTTAAGGAAGGACGCAAGGTGTCTAAAATATTTGCCTTCAATAAAGTTTGTCTCTATTATGTAAGTGAATATAATTGTTTCATCCTTGTATCTGATTACATGTTTGTCCTTTAAGGCATGCCCACCAGAAGATCGTCATTTTCTCAGCATCTTCCCCTCTTCCATAGCTTATCTATACTTATCACATAGTATTGTATTATATTTGCGTTTATACTATGGAAGTAAATAAAATGTCTTTTAAATAAAATGAATTCTAAACACAACAGTTTCACAGTTATTAAAAATCAACAGTTAAAGGAGCTGGCAGATAAAATACAAAGTATAGGCCTACTATAGCATTATGCAAGCGATTATTATACATTTGAATTTAATTGAAAAAAATGTGATAAATTAGTTTTAAAGATATCATTCGTTGTATATGTTTATTTAATACCAATTGTTTATGTTCGTTACCTACTTATCTATCAATCTAAATATAAGTTATTGTTAACATTATTTTTTAAGGTATTATTCACCAAGCCACATGTACCTTTCTTTAATGGCTGTGTATTATTATTATTATTATTATTATTATTCATTATTATTATTATTATTATTATTATTATTTTAATCTTTTTAAATGGATGAATTGTATTCTTTATGAGAAAGCGATTTCCAAATAAGTGATATTATCGAAATCATCATCATTATCACCATCATATTCATCATCATCAACAGCAGTATCATAATCGTGATCATCATCATCTAAATCATCTATTATAATTACTATTATTATTATAATTTTCATTATCAATTATAGCATTGTCATTTTCAATGTCATATCATTATTGCTATTATTACCATTATTGTTATTGACAATCTTATAAGTTAAACTTGGTTTTTATACAGTTGATACACTTTTCGCCAACAGTGTTTTCAATGGAATTATACACTGAGTAGGTCCTAGCTGTCTTCGACGCAATTGGGCTTTAAAAAAAAAAAAAAAAAAAAAAAAAAGTCTAAGAATCGAGAAAGCTGCCCGATTTGGTCGACCAGTTACGATTTGATGAAAGACAGTCTTACCGTCATATCCGTCACCTGGCCATGTGCCAAAGAACAAACTTTCAGTTAGCAGACATCCGTCTTTGGTATATTCACGTGGCCCCTCTCCATTTTCATCGTCAGATTGATATTCATATTTATACTTCCACCTGTTAACTAGCACATCGCCAGGGTTATTGACTTCATCGATATATTGTACATTATCTATTAAAATATAAGATGCAGGCAGATTGGCAGTCAAAAAATAAATAATTAGGCCTTTAATCTAGGAATGTGATAACCATTATCTTTTCAATAAAATATAAACGTAAGAACAACTTCAACTTATTTAGTAAATCCCAAGTTTTTTGTATACACTGAATTTGATTAGGCTCTTTTTGTATTAGTAAGGATATTGAGATTAATAGTAGGCCTACTTTTTATTTGTTAATTGGCAAATAAAATGAAAATACGTAACTGGAATAATGATATAAATAATAACTAAGAATATAAATTATAATACATACATTGTAAATGCGTGTACATTATTAATATTATTATTATTATTATTATTATCATTATTTTGCTAAACAATGCATAGCATATTATAATATATCATTATCAAATAAATTACAGAAAGCCTCGTTTTTTTTTATGAACAGCTCTCCTTTTATTGACGAACAACTCTCCTTTTATCAGTTTCAGCGCTCTACCATTACTCGCTGATAAAGCTGCAATTTATGACAGTCACTGATTGTGCCTTACCTGCAACACACCTGGTTGGCATTCTCCCTACAGAATTATTCTTCTTACACTCTTGTGAATCAGGAAAAATAAACCATGTAGTGTTCTACAAAATGAACTAAAAATTATGCTACACAAATTTTGATAATGATGGAAAATATAACGTGTCGTATTTAGTGCTGTTTGCGAATAATATCTTATTTCGAGTTCCATTGTTTATGAAGTTTTTAACTTCACATTGATATAACTGTTATATTTAAAAGGTTAAATCTGACCAACAAAATGATACGACCCATACAAAACTAATTGTGATAACGATTTGATAAACATAATTCCACCACGATTTAAATGATTTGTGAAATATAGCTAGAATATAACGTTTTAGGCCTGTTGCCACCCGGCCTTTAGCCGCCCAGCCTTTTGCCACCATAGGCCCGTTGCCAGCTGGCCTTTTGCCACCTAAGCCCGTTGCCACACAACCGGCCTTTTTCCACCCGGCCCGTTGCCACCCATAGTTGTATAGTAGGCCTACGCATTGTATTCGCAGAAATTTTACTCTCGGCATTTTTGCCAAACTATTGTGAATGGATTGATTGTTTGGCAGATTGTAAACAACGACAATTCGTTGCCGTTAACCATCATAAAAGGCACACGTGTGAAGAAGCTTCCCGATTAGCGTTTTATCTTTATTTGTATGTATTCAGACGTACATATGCATTATCTGTATATGTTTTCTGAGTATGTACTGTTTTTAGTATGTGTGTATGTTTGTTTACATTTTTTGTGAGGATATAACGTCATAAATCATAATTCTTGTAGTGTTATAAATTGAACGGTTTTTTTTTTATTTGATATAATTGACTTAATTGCCTTTGAGTGTGGAAATATTAATGAACATAAATATAGTGACAATGATAAAATTAGCGATAATAAGCTATTATTAACTACCGCTATAAGAAATGGGCCTATGCCCATACATATATATACCTCTCACAATTTGTTGTTTTTAAGGTATTTTAAGGTTTTTAAGCCAAATATATGATTATATATAACTCTGGTATACCAATAGAAAAAAAGACATGGGTGGGGGAAATGTCCAACTGACCAATTAAAGGCCACGCAAATTAGGCTTGAAGACCCTATAATCTGAACAGCCCTAGTCACGGTATAAACAATCAGGAGGATTAGTTTGCTCAGGTCGTTAATGTTACTGAGCGCATGCAATATTCTTTCTAGTTTACCGCTAACTGGAAGAGCTTTATTCAAAGTTTATCATTGGCGGTTATTAATGAGAAATTATATATACATACTTGTAATAAATTGTCCGCATAAAAAGAGAAATACCAAATAAATTCCAGAAAGCTCATTATACACATATTATAATAAATATCATAAATGTGTTGTTTTTTTAATTGTAAAAGCAGACTATTTCTTTCTATTTTAGAGTAAGAATATTTACTTAAAAATAAACAATAAAAATAAAATAGACACTGCAGTATTTCTCTCTTTATATGCGGATTTATAACAATGTTTATTTCTGCAATTTTCTCCTAGTGGTAAGAAGGCGCATGGACGATTGTTTGAAATAAAATACAGTAAACTAATAATTAAATATTAATCTGGAAAGTAAATTTAATAAAGAAAACATTCTGCTACAGTAGCCTACTAGTACAAATCTGTGTTAAAAAACCCACCAATATAATATAAATATTGGACATCCCAAAGGTGGCAAAGACCGGGTAGCAACGGGTCTGGGTGGCAACGGGCCTAGGGTGGCAACGGGCCTGGTGGCAAAAGACCGGGTGATAAAAGGCTTGGGTGGCAAAAGGCCTGGGTGGAAAAACGCCGGGTGCAAAAGGCCGGGTGGCAACGGGCTGGGTGGCGGTGGCAACGGGCCCGGGTGGCAACGGGCCAGAACCCAATAAGAACATGTGGCAAATTTGAAATCTGAAAAATGTCGGCTTCATTAAGAAATTTATTGATTTAAACAAATCTGCGCTGTGACGTCATTCTTGCCTAAATTCAGGTTGCGTAATCTGATCACACCAGTCCACGCTGGGAAAACCTATGCGTAAGCAGAGTAGTTGTGTACGGGGCATTTTGGTATGATCAGCTAAAACAGTCTTAGTACAGCTACGGTATGTGGATTAATTGTTATGGTGATTAACACTTAAACAATTTAGCATCAATAATATTGTACTAAATACAACAATGACAGTACTACACAAAATGTAGAAGCAAATAAATTCACATCACGTTCATCATCACGATCCAAAAATAGAGACCCCTAGACTAGTGAGAAAGAGAGGACCTACCCTACCCAAGTATAAAGGCCTAGGGTTATAGTTGCAATTTTATTCATGACTTGCACTTTTCTCTTGCGTTATTGCCATTCGTTTTCAATAAAACATATATCAAAATAAATATTCTTGTTTTTTCCTCTTTCTTCACGAGGTTTGATTTGGTTAACACTATGGTTAATATAGAGTTTGAAAGAAAACATAGTTCAAGCATATTCATTGTTGTATTGAAAACAAAGTAGAAACGAGTATAGAATGATCAGTTATAATTAAACATAAGTTATTTTGTTTTAGAGTGTCCAGTAAAAAAAAAATAAAAAAAAATAAAGAAACCTTTCCTATGGCAAAGCTTTCTTTTCCCTAAGGGGGATGGTGTGATAATGGCCTATAAGGTATTATACGCTAACATTTATAGTTAGAAGGTGTAGAGAATATCTGCTATTTGATTTGTTTTAGTCAAAGGATTTCTGTTCTAAAAGTATGTCACTAGGTAGTGACCCCATGTCATTGACCTCAATGAGTGAGGTGAGAATGTTATAGAACTTTGTGAGAGAAGCGAGCGTATGGCAAGCCATTTTATCATTTACCTCTGAATTGCAGTTAAGTCGAATGCATTAAAGTTAACTGTAATTCAGTTACAGTTAACTCGAATTGAATTCAAGTTAACTGCAATACAATGGAATTGCAGTTAACTTGAAATGAATTAGAGTTAACTCTAATTCAATTGCAGTTAACTTGAATGCATTTCAAGTTAACTTGAATGCATTTCAAGTTAACTGCAATTGACCATTTTTGGTAATTTCATTAAGTGATTGTGATTGGCTGATGTATTTGAGTTAAGTGCGATCGACCATTATATGGCAATTCCATTAAGTGACTGTGATTGGATGTTCACTTATAAGGTATATTTCCATTAAGTGATGGTGATTGGCTGTTGAATTTTCCGCCTGTGAATCGTCATCGACTGCCTAGAGCCAGAGCAAAACTTTTTAGTCCTTTTGCTATACGGTTTAACTGTGTTTAAGTGGTTTATTTAAAAAAGTACGAAGTTACCCAAAATTAAAAAAGTGTTATGTCTGAATCTGGGAGGCATTTGGAGCAAGTGGCTAAAGTGGCTTCTCAAGCTATTGCCCGTGCCAGAGACCACGTCAGGCATAGGCCTAGGCCTTCTACCACTACTGCTGCCAGTGTTACGAGTAGGCCTAGTAGTAGTAGTAGTAGTAGGCCTACTACCACCACGTCTTCTAGGCCTAGTAGTACTACCACCGCGTCTGCTGGACATCATTTAGCTAGCACTGGCGGCAGTAGCACTGACAGTGGTACTAGGTCTAGTAGGGGGCCTATATCTGCAACAACTGATAGTTGAAACGGCGTTTTTCCTTTTTCATCTGCCGCTGTAGGCCTAGGCTAGGCCTCACCTACCCCTATTGCTCCCCTCTACCACCCTCCTCAGTTCGTCCACATGGTCAATCATATCTTGTATTGATTGTACCACTTCCTCCAATGACTGTTGGTCTAGCGTCGCAAAAATCCTACTTACATTACGAATACATGTTCTTAAATTATTCTGTAATTGATTATAATCAGTGTTTCCCTGTTCTAATGCTGCAGTAACATTATGAACAGTTTGTCCAACGGTAGAAAGTACATCATCAAAATGATCAGACGCCATTTTTATTAAATTTGAACGACCGTTTTGATGATTTGTTTTTTACCGGGCAAGTACGACCGGAAAAAGCACATCAGCCAATCACAGTTACTTAATGAAAATACACCATAACTGTAATTCAACCAACTGTGGCTGACCAATCATATAGCACTGATATTACGAAAACGCAAACAACCAATCGTATTAACTTAACGCTAATTACAACCAACCTCTGAATTGCAGTTAACTTGAATTGCATTACAGTTAACTTGAAATGATTTGCAGTTAACTTGAAATGCATTCAAGTTAACTACAAATGTTTTCGAATTAAGCCAAAATAGACATAATTGAAATAGATTTGCAGTTAACTTTAAATAAATTACACTTAACTCAAAAACAAAATTTTATTTACAGTTAACTGCAATTGAATTCGAGTTAACTGTAATTGAATTAGAGTTAACTGTAATGCATTACACTTAACTGTAATGTATTGCAGTTAAGTCGAATGTATTACAGTTAACTGTAATTGAATTACAGTTAACTGTAATGCATTCGACTTAACTGCAATTCAGAGGTAAATGATAAAACGGCTTGCCATACGAGCGGAATTAGGAGATGCGAGGGGTCTTGGTTGACGAAAAGTAATGACTGGCTCGGTGATGAGTTGTAATTAAGCGACAGTAAATGCATGTTCTAGAAGGACAAGAAGGTCTTTTTGCAACCAAAAAGAGTTACAGAATTCCCCAGGAGAAGGGAGTTTGTTATTGTTTTGATAATCTTCTCGTGGAAGGTTGATAACGCTGGCTAGTTCGAGGACGGTACGCCGGTAGGTGAGAATATAGGCTATTTTGGGATCGGTGATGGAATCCTAGGCCTAGCTAATCATCATCTGATATTACATCTAGTTTTATGTTGAATTCTCAAAGGACATTTGGAAACCTGTTTACATCTTTATTATTATTGTACTTGTTGGAATTACTCTCCTATATATATAGCTTTGGACAGGTTTAATTACGGAACTTTGCAAACAATTTGTCAAACATCTTTGGGATTCGTCGTGGGATAACTAACACGATAGAGTATTGCCTGTTCACCTGTGGATCATCAGCCGTCACGCTTTTGTTTACTCCAGCTTATAAACTTGGATCACTAGTGGAA